GGGGGGGGGGGGGGGGGGGCGGTGTGGGCCCTCTGATTTCAGATCAGATCAGATCACTCGTGCGTCAAAAGAAAGGTCAACTCACGACAAACCATCTCACCCAGAATGCTAAGGAGAGAGAGGGTGAATCAGCTCCAGTCTGGCATGTTCCAGACCAGTCCCAACTGTTACAGAGCGAGTTTTGCCAGCCAGCACGGGGCTCCCCAGAGCACAGCACAGCAGGCAAGAGGCAACGTTCTCTGTCGCTGAGGGACACTGCACCTACTCCCTCCCAGAGCTCTTATTCTGCCCAGTGGGAAGAGGCAGAGAGGATGGTCCTGCCTGGACACAGTGGGAGATTTTTGTCAGCTCATTCTCAATGAGAATCCTTTGCATCAATACGTGGGAAACTAAAATCTATGTAGGAGAAGAGGGAAGAGAAGATACTGCAAATTGTAGGTGCCAGAGAAGACAAACTTTTGAATCACACTCCCACTCTCAAAAGCTGATCCCTGTGAAACTTAGTGGAAAGGGATCATTGATCAGGGAGCACTGCAGACCTGCACACGCAGAGAGCCAGGGCAGAGAACGCAGCTCTGAGCACCACTCACCACCACGGCTTTAAAAGGGCTTCCAAAAATTAATCTTTTGGGAAAAGGAGAAGGGGATAACTCCATATAAACCATGTAACGCAGCGTCACAGCTGTCTCCTGTGAACAGCCTCAAAGACAAGGAACTAGCAGGTCAGGGAAAACAAATTCCTGTCCTCTCCTCCATGGCCTTGGGATTTGGGTTCTGCTGGTCAGGACAGGACACCCAGACAGGGCACAGCAGGAGCCAAGAGACAGTCCTGCCTCACTTCTGTGCATAACCAAGATGTGCAGGAAACTCCAGCCCCAGGGATTTGGGCAACTTTGTGAACTCTAAAATATCAGCTGTCTTCTACCCAGTCCAGTGAGTATCTACGTGTAGTGGTGCCACTTCTGAGCCCAGCCTCACCAGACTCCTCATCACCCAAAGCATATAAACCAAACCCCAAGACAGCGTCTTGGTGACAGGCTGACCCCTGCCACGTCCAGGCGAGTGCAGACTTGGGGCGTGTGTCCAGCCACGCCAGATCCTCCTGGCATTACAACAGGGAACAAAAAAACCAAAAAAGCCTTCAACACACTGGTTTCCCCCCAGAGCAAAGGGCTCTAATTACAGAGACAAACAAGTTGGGAAGCACCTACTTACTTGTTGAATAGATGATTGTCCACCTTAATCTTACTGTAGGCTTTAAAGTCATCGGGCATTAACATGACAGGGACGGGAACATTGCTGAGTTCGTTGATCTAAAAGAGAAAGGAAATGGAGATTCAAAACACAAGTTCCACTGCCCTGCAGTTACTGTCAATGGACTTAGGGGGATGTCAAATACCCCAGAAGCTGGTTTTGAAGGAAGATAACCCATTAGGCTTTCAGAGCAACTGCTATGCTTGGTGAGTACTCCCGAGCCAGCCTTGGCTCCTTCATCTGTTCACTTTCCACTGACCACCCAAGACACAGCTTAGAATTGAGACAAACCTACAGACCAAGAAATAGCAGATTTTCTGTTTTAAATAAATCACCTTTGCCTTTACTTAGGAAAATGTGGCATCAGCTAATTTCTTAATTAGTTTTTTCACAGCTACAAATCACTGATGACCAGAGTCTTCATCGTGGCCAGCCAGAAGAGACTCTGGGTAGCTTTGGTGCAGCACAGCACAGCTCTCCTGTGGATGCTGTTTCTATGCTCGCTGTCTCTTGTTGCTCTTATCCCACCTTCTCTAAAGGGATGAGTCATTCCACTAGATTGTTTTTGCTCCTTAGTCATGTGTGGCAGCCACAGGAATACAGGGAAGCAGAAGAATGAACGTTCAGCTACTATTGTACAGACAGGCTCATGCTACAGCACCCAGTAGCGAAAGCATCGATAGTAAAAAAAAAAACAAAAAAAACCCCAAACACCTCTGGATTATATCTGGCTACCCTGCTCCAGACAAGCCCAGGCACTGACAAGGCCGTGCCAGTGTTTGAGAGCAGGTCAAGAGGCAGCACGTTTCCGAGGTGCCTTTTCTGAGGACAGCCCCGGTGTCTTTCACTCACATGGATTTCACCGGAATCACCCGAGTCCCATCTCACTGAACTGCTATTAACACGCTGGATTTAGGAAGCAATATCATCACACCTCCATTCCCATAATTACTGTGCCAAGCAGGTAATGCTGGAGAGAAGCAGACAACGCTGGCAAGAACAGGGTTTGGCCAGGAGTCAGGCCTGGGGTCTGTTCCCAACACCAAAAATCTCAAGCAGGTCAAGTGACTTCCAGCAGGCTCGGAAAGCGCGTGGCACTTCCCTGCTGCCTGGGAGCGGGCCCGGGCGGCCGCCTCAGGAAATGGGACTCCAGCTCCGGGATTCCCCGCTCCTCCCCGAGCAACGGGACACAAACTCCTGCTGCCACATCTCCCCCAAGGAGGCGGGGATGAACGGAGGCGTGAGGGAGCCATTCTGCAGCGGGATCTGTGGCACACTTCAACTCTGCAAGGACCACGGAGCTCCCAGCTCTGGAGATGTGCAGTGAGCTGTCTAATTATATGAGCCAGCCTTTGATGAAGTATGTATTTTTCACATCCTTCCTCCATCATTACCAATGAAAAAAAAAAAAAGAAAAACAGACCAGATTTAACAAACGTCAGACTGGAAGAAAGACACATACACACTGCAAGGAGAAAAGATGACTATTTTCAGACACAGCCATCCCACACAACAGATAAGCGGAAAGTAAACCGGCCACCGCTCCGTTAAGAGCGGAGATGATGCTCTTTAAAACCCTGCCCAGTATTTACTTGATAGCAGCACCGAGGAGCATTAAGCACTCCCATGAAGTGCCCTGGGATGTATGCAGAACGCTGCACAGATGAATGAATAATGTCACACGCCTCCCATCATTTGTGGAGCGGGGAGGCCAATGCCCCCCGGCTTAAGCTAAAGGCTCGATCCTGCACTGAGCTGCTCCTCCAGCTGCAGCTAAAGGAGAAGAAAGGCAAGAGGACCACAGGTGAGGAAGGGATGTCCCAGGCCCTGGTATCCAGCCTCCCAGCTGCTGCAAACAGCGGTATCAGAGAGCCCCACAGCAGTGATTTCCCCTCACGGTGAAGTCGGCGCGGGGGGGAGAGAGAAAACAGCTAATTCTGTATCAAGAAAGAGGCGCTGCCTCCAGCCACTAATTATTGCTGTCTAACAGGAGGGGAAGCCCGACAGCACAGCTCCTTAGACACGCCTGTTCTCAGCCCTCTTCTCGACGGTGGGTAAGGCACAAACAAGCTATTATCAGCTTGTTCCAGAGCGGAGGAAGGGTGCTGACGGCTGAGAGGGAACAGCGATTTGGAGATTGTCTCCCCCCTGCCAGAAATTCAGACACAAATGTTAGCAAAGTGAGATGTCAAGACGTCTCTGGATGTCCTCATTTCTGCCAAAGCAGAAACCTCAAAGCAAATGTTGTACCTGTTGCAAGTCTCCTGACTGGCAGAAATGGTGCGCCAGGATACCTCAGCTTGTTTAAAAGATGCCCTCACTCTTCCCGAGATACAACAGCCTGACAACAGCCAAAAAAAAACCCCTGCAGAAGCCTTTCCTCCCTTCCAGCTGTGTACAGCAAAGCTTTCTGGATGTTTTGGGATCCGGGCACTGGAGGAGATGGGGAGAAGGAAGGGGTTGATGCCAGGCCCCACAATCACTGCCCAAGAGTTGAATTCACCATTTCTAGTCCCAGCACTGCCAGGCTGCTCTCCACTGCACAAAGCAGCTCTTGGTCAGATGGCTACTGACCCTTTGTTTCTGACACCAGCCTGAAAGCAAATGTGACTTCGGTTAGGGTTTTTTGTTTTGTTTGTTTGTTTTTATTATTTGATTTTTAGGCGAGAGGGACTTGCGCTCTGTGCTCCCGCAGTAACTCCCGTGCTTGTCGCTTCCCTCAGGATGCCAAAGGGAGAGGAATGAAAAGCCCCCACACCGCCTTGGAAAAGGGATATCCCAAACCCTCCCTTCTCACAGTACAATCCTCAGCATCCAGTTCCCCTTCCTAAGGCTCATCTGGCCAGGTCCTGCAGCACGGTGCCAAGTGAAACACTAGGAGACCTTGCCCAAAGGAGCAGCCGACAGCACCGCTCTATAGGGATCCTCTCCTGTGCTTATCATGGTGGAATCTGAGCAGCCTCCGAGAGCAACGTGACTAACGCCTGGCACATGTTTGCTCTCTCGCCTTCTCCCCAGGGAGAGGCGTGTAGCAGGAGATTATATATAGCAGAGTGTGTGTCTCTGTGTATTTATGCTACAGAAGGCAAGGTCACAGCAAGGTGCATAGCAATGAGGTGCCCAGCAAGCCCTGGCTCCTAGGGAGCCTGTTCCCACGGGCCTGACCCGCCGCCTGTCTCCCACAAAGAGATGTCACTCAGCTACAGAAAGTTTGCCTGTACCTGGAGCTTTGGAGATCTCTGGGGCTTGGCGCTGGCCACGAGATGGGCAGCGAGATCTCGGACTCGGTGCTTTGTTCTGGAAGAGGCAGCTGCAGAGAGCGGAGGTGCGGCAGCAGCCAGCACCGCAGTCACACACCTCTGTCCCTCACCGCAGGGGCCGGGGGCTGTTTTGAGAAGCACAGTGAGCAGGTCCGTGCTGTACAGCAGCCTGTGCCTGGGGCATTTCCACACCTCCACTAAAAAGGCTTTAGAGGTCCACAAAGTAGAAAAAGTTAAGAACAGCTAATTTAGAGCATGAGCTCTTCAGACCAGGGTTCTGTCTCCAGACCCAGCATGATGCTGGTTTTTTGTAAGGCATCCAGCTTTTTAGACCTAATCTGCCTTTGAATCCTCTTGAAAACAAGCCTGGTTTTGCACAGTTCTCTTAGGCCAGGAGTTTTCTATTCCCCCACTGGATAGAAAGCACAGACAACCTGACAGGGATCAGCCCAGGCTGAAAGCATCACTACGTACATTTTGTCACTGCCACCTGCATTTTGGAGAAAGACGTAAGACACTGGTCCTGCCCCTCCCCAGGCCAGAAGCAGCGTGAACGGCACACGCCCCTCAGCCTCACAAAAGGCTCAGACACCAACCGGGCTCGGAGGCTCTGAGCAGAGCTCAGAGGATTTAAAACCAAGACACATTTTAGACAAACCAACTGACATCTTCACAAGGCAACAGCAGGGGCACTAAGAAAAAGATGCTTCACATTTCTCTGCTGGTTTCACCATATTCTGAGAACAAAGGAGCAATTTCCCGAGCAAGGCAAGCAGGCCAGTGTGTCCAGAAGTCACCCCAGCGAGGAGAGAGGTGAGGCAGCAGGCTGCCCGCTGGCTCCAAGCGGCACAGTCCCAGCCAGAGCCGCGATGTAAAGGCAGCCAGATGCCACCAGAGGAGGGACCGGGGCTTGGGGGCACCAGCCAGTAGGTGAGGGAGAGAAGAGCCTCATCTCTCCAAAGTCACAGCCGTCACCTTCCTCTTCCTCTTGCCCAGCAGCCAGAGGAACAGCAAGCTTAGCTCGGCGCTTTCTCCAGCTCCCCAGGCAGCAGCTCCCCCCTTCCCCCCGCAGGAGTGGCCGGGCCCTTCATCCTCAGTCAGCAGAATTCATTTTTGCCTACGCCGCTGAGAAGTCTACAGCCACCCCTGGCCTTACAGGGCTGGAAAAACACCACCGCCCCTCTGTCTGTTCAGCTTTTATTTCCTGGTCACTTGAATTCTTGAGCTACACCAGTCAGGATGATTCTGGGTTTATCGGTAGTTGATAATTTGTCTTGCCCACCAAAGCCAATTCCTTTTTCAATAAGACACATCAATATTCTGTGTCATTCAGGGACAGCTGTTAGAACGAATAGGCCAGGCATAATTTTGTTTCAAAACCTGACTGTAGCCTCAAAGTGGCAATTACCATTAGTAAATTGATGGGAAAATGCAATTTGTTTACTAACAAGATCCAGATGATGGAGTGTGTGAGTCTACTCTCTAGGATTCTTTACAACAGGAATTTGCTCAGGAAAATAAAAATACTTTGTTCCTCTCAAAGCCTTTCACTCAGGCATCTCAAAGTACTTTGTGAACATTAGTTAAACTTTTTAATACTCTGGGGAAGTAGGTAAAAGATACAGAGCAAAATCACTTTAACTAGCACGGAGACAAACCCACATCTGCAGCAGAACTTTGCTGCTGCTTAACACAACCGGGCAACGGTTTGAGAAAAAAAAAACAAAACACGTTTTCCCTGAATTAGAGCATGATTAATCAGTATCCAAGCTAACAAAACCCCCATGCAATGCTATGGAAGCATCAACCTTGTGGTCAATATTTTCTGTCAGCGCTCTGGGGTCACCAGCATGCTTTAAGAGGAAAAAAAAAAAGCATCCCCTAGTGACAGCAAACCCACCTCTTCCCGACCAAAGTACTCTGAAGCCTGTCGGAAAGTCTCCCGTGTCCTGACGGAGCTGCAGCCCAACGCTGCGTCAGGGGCAGAGGAGTCAGTCAGTGCTGCCCTGTGTCCTGCCAGCGCAGGGTGGCCTGGCACCCACCGCCTCGGCACGGCCTCGGGAAGCACCCGGCCTCCCAGGCGCTGCCCTCGCTTCACACAAAAGCTGAGGAAGGGAAAGGTTAAACAACCCACCCACGGCCACGCGAGTCAGGGACAGAGCAGGCAGCTGAGCCCCAATCCCCTCGCTGAACCACCCAGGAAAACCTTTTTTCCTCTCTGTGCCCCGAGAAGGAAAAGGGCTCCTGGAATCTCTATTTTAACAGGAGATCCTGGGAGAAGAAGGTTCAGAGCCACCGGCCTCGACCATTCACGGGGGCTGTCATGGCCATGGCCGCACGCTGCGCTCTCCAGAGGCCAGTCAGAGCCACAGCAGACAGCAGGTACTGGAAAGGACAAATACATGCTGTTCACCCTGCGCCAGGACCAATTTATAGGACTTCAACATTTGATATGTGGCAGATGCTGCTCTGGCTAGAATTAACATGGCAACACCAAAAACAACACTGCAGAGAAGGGAGAAGCGTGCTGCAAATCCCAATTTTGCTATTTCACTCGAATACTAAATAGCTGTGTTTTGTACTGGCTGGCACCACTCCTAAAGGTCCTAGGAGAGCGGCTGGTGCTTCAGCCAGTACCCGGAGCGCCGAAGGCTGCCTTGGGGAAGATCCACGCAGCCAACAGAAGAGATCTATCCATTTCCACAAAAATGAGATTTGTTCATGCCTACCCCCTGCCCCTGCCAACATCCCCAGAGCTCCAGGGATCGTTTCCAGTTGACGAACTGCCACCTAGAGAAGCATCACCACGACTCGCGCAAACCCGGCCACCCATTTAACAAACAGATACAAGAGTCACCCCTCCACCAACCCCCAAACTCACTGGGATCCCAGTGCCTTGTCTAATCAGCACCTTACAACCGTTTCTATGGTTTCCAGAGCATCACACAACACTGCCGTGTTCAGCGCAAGATGGCTTCTCCCTTCCAGAACCATCACAACTTTCCCTCTGCCGCTGGCAAGCTCCCGTGCACACACGTCCAGCCGGGGCGTGGAGAACGTGCACGGAGCAACATGCACATAACCACCAGCGAGGAGCTGCATCGCCTCTTCCAATGCCATGACAACAGCAGTCGCAAGCAAAGCTTCCCCAGGAACCATCTCCACGTCTGCTGAATTTTACATTGCCTTACTCAGAAATGAAGGATGAGCCTCTGGGACTTCCACTTTCTCCTCCTATCTGGCCAAGTTCTCCCCTCCACCATTTTCAAGTTTAAAATTTAGTTGTCGGACTAAACCCACCCACGTTTGGCCCTGCTTACACCAGCCACAGCCCCACCCTGATCCCAGTTCACTCGGTTTAACTGCTGGCTGGGGACCAGCGGGACAGCCAAGACCCAGCTGACTCTTTGAACAGAAATGCTCAGAACTGGTGTTCCAGAAACCAGTTTCTGTTCTTGGTGCGCTAACATCACTGCTCCTGATCCTCTCCAGACCCATCACTGCCTGTATTCACACCAGCTGCTAACAAGCTTGTTTAAACACAAGGCAGGGCCGAACTCCTGCCAGACTCAGTTAATGGACCCAAGGGAATTTCTTCAGTCAACAGAAACGGTGGATTGCATGAAATGGTTGTTTGTTTGATTTGTCCATGAAAAAGTTCATCTCAAATGCAAGTATGTTTGACAGAATCTTCCTGGCACAACCTTGTGGTTGTGCTGATAGCAGTTTTCTCCCCCTCCTACTGCAGGGAGCCCAAGGCAGGGCTCTGCAGGCACAGCCGAGAGACTCATCGCTTCTTCTAAAACCGTGGTCCAGAAGCCAACACATTAAACAACCCCCCCAAAAGACTTCCAACCAAGTCCAAAGGCACTCCTGAAAATATTCCTCAACTGGCCAGACCCATCTGCTCGAAGCACATAAGCAATTCCACTTCCCACATAACCGGGGCACCAACATCATCTCCCAAAAACGCAGACCAGGATGAGCAGCTGCTCATGTGTTGAGCAAATAAAACCACCTGAGCTCGCAGCCTGCTCTGCAGTGCGGTCACACCGGCCACCAACTCTCCGAGGCACTCGCAAGGCTCACCCAAACACAAAGGGACACCCCTGGCAGAGAGGTGGAGGAAAATGAACTAGCAAGAATTGCTGGGAAATCCTGGATGCCTGTCCGAGGGTGAGGAGGGCACAGCTGAAATTTTCTAACCCTCTTCCCAGCCCCTCAGGATACGCTTCTCCTTTCTGGCAGCAATTTCTTCATAACACGCATCTGATATAATCTTATTACTAGCTTAGTGTTCATACAGAACTGACAGCTTGCCTTCCTCCCTTTGCCGAAATATTTCACAGCCAAGTGCTCCAGAAGTTGCACTGTCCTGATCCAGTGCCTGAAAAAATTGCCAGATTCCTAGTACCCAAACAGAGAAAAAAAAAGAAAAAGCTAATTGCCACCAAGCAACAACTGTCCCTAAGAGGCCAGAAACTTAGAAGAATTCCACCAATTTCCATTTCTTCAGGGCTCCTAATAGCGCCACTGATCAAAGCCTGATTAAATTCATTACCCTGCTTCCTGGGCAAGGCTCTGAGCAGTGAGCACTTGGAACATCCTTTGACTCAGAGAGACGGCGCTGTGTTGAACTACATTTGGAAGCTTTCACTCCATCGTCAGGCAAGCTAGAAATGCAATTCTAATTTTATTTTTGGTGTGTTATTTGTTTCTGCAAAAATTAAGCCTAAATCCCTTTCACTCTCTAGGAAACATCCACTAATCCACTAGAGAAATAGGTGTCTTTGAGCCCTAAAAGCGTATTAATTTAGGAAGGGATGAGGTTTCTGAATTCTTTGACCACCTGAATATTCTCCTAGAGCGGCATCCCACATCCAAGAGTGGTAAATCAATCCTCCTTTCCAACACGAGATTTGTGCCTACCATCACAGATGAGGGAGAAGTTTCCAGAGAAAAACAAAGACAGTCTTAGGAACCTCCAAAGGAGATGGATTAAAGAGCTGAGCCACCACAGACATTTCCAAGGGACCGTCTCCCAGCTCCCTCCTAAAACCTGTATCAACACTGCCCAGAGAAACCGGGGTTGAGAGTCCGGGGACATAAGGGGCCCAAGTTCTGGCAGCTGAAGCCTAAAGTCAGAGGGAGACAGGGCTGGACCGGCAGGGCCAAAGGACCCTTTTGTGTTTGGGATGGAGATGAGACACACATGTAACTGTCCTCATACATCATAAATGTCCAACTGAGGAACAGGATTATCACTGCGTGGGACCTCTGGGTCGTGACACGTGGGAGTCCCCTCACTGTAAGGGGGGCACAGGGACTGCCCTGAGCGAGAAAGGGGGGGGCTCTGACAGGGGACAGGGTCCCAGAGAGGGGGTCTGCCAGGGCAACAGCACCCGACACAAAGGGACACAAACCAAAACGGCACTGCTCCCCCTCCCCAGTCCTGGGTAGAAAAACGTGTCGGGAAGAGGTGCTGGAAAAGGCGTCGGGGAAGAGGCCGCAGGCAGACGGGTGGGTGTGAGGGGGCAGGCGTGCTCCGGCAGAGACGTGTCTAGCAGCAGAGAAGCGTAAAGCCACCCCAGGCGTGAGGAAGGTGATGGCCGGGAGAGACACCCTGACCCGGAGCCGGGGGGGGGGGACGGGGACA